ATTAACGGATCTTATTCGACGCGTATATAAGCTTTTTTACAATAACCTCGACGATACCGAACTACTATAATAGCTATAGACCGAGGGCTTCCGGATATCGAAGTTCGGACTCGAAGGTATCCGAAAACGTAATAAGTTATAGCGATAGCAGGATATGCCACAGATCGAGGAGGCAAAAGCAAAAGCCAAAGAGTTCTTTAAGGGTAATAATCCTAATATATCCTTTACGCGGGGGCTCGGTGCTATATAGCTCTATATATTTATACGGTAGAAGGGCTTTATAATTAGCCGCGATACTCTTTACTATACCTTCTTAGAACTATTCCTAGAAGAGGTTACGGCCTGTATAAAGGAGATACGACACCGTAGAAAGGGCTGGATAATGCCCGGGCCGAATTTTATTTAGTCTATTAATACGTACGATAAGCTACTTCCCTTCGGCTTCGAGATCTACATCGGTATCGACGCCTACGCCCGATTTATAACTTAGTTCTACGTTAGAGTATCGGCGTATACTGCTAGGAACGTCCTTACGTAGTATATCCACGTTATACGTTAGACTGAATTTCTCCCGCGGTTTATTTGGTTAGATTGGGGTAAAGAGATAATACTCTTCGCCGGCGTATACTAGTATATATCTGTATAGTCGCGTATAAAGAAGAACATAGCCGGTAAGGATATTCCGATTAAGTTTAAAGACTACTGGATATTTAGGAAGAGTATCTATAATTAACGTATTAAGGTATAGTAGAATAGACTCTATTAGTCCTGTTTGGTATATTAAAGCGTAAGTAATTATTATACTACTGCTTTATTAGTATTATATTCCTTTACTAATATATATTTAGGAGTATTTTATTTATCTCTCCGAAAATAGCCTTTTCGATAACCGTTCGATTACCGACCGTATTACGCTACTTTACGTATATATACTACTTATACGTACCGACTTTATATAATTTATACGGGTCTATACTAGCCATCGTATCCGCGTATAGCGTTCTTGGCCGTATATTATTACTAGTAAGCCTTAGGTGCTTTATTACTAGGCTAAACGGGACTTCCGGGTATAGCCGGATCCTATATAGCTTTGTATACTAGAAAACGCCCTTATAGAAGATCTTTAATAGCTTAATATATATCTGCCTACGGATATTATAGTAGTATACTTAGCGCTTAAGTCTACCACGGGCAGCCTCTAAGAGATACTGACTATAAACGGTAAAGAGTATCCTGCGCTTTCTCTGTATAGTTATATACGTAATAGTCTAAATATATATATAGCCGCGAAGACCGAACCCTAGCTTTTATTATTACCCGCGCCTCGTGGTAATATCGCGGCTATAAAGGACTTACTTAAAAAGGAGGGCTTAGATATAGAATAGGCTATAATAGGAACTAATAAGACTGATTTAGCCTTTTCGGATATAAAAAGCGAGGGTAGTAATTAATTCTAATCTAAGGAATTAATTCTAATCTAAGGCTCCGTGTCGGAAGTTATTGAAAATATACGCTTCCGGCCGCGAAGATCTATTATTAACGGTGGCACCTTACTTTTACCCGCCTTCTATTCCTTTATACCGTGTTCCTCCGTGCCGTGATCCTCCTCTTCTGTATAAGCCTACGCGTAGGTGTCCGGTGCTATCTCGGTCTTAACCACCTACGGCTCGGTCTTAACCTACAGTTTAGTCTTTACTATTACCTTTACGGCTTATTTCCCTTTCCCCTTTCCGGTCTGCTTATTCGCACGGGTCCCCTTTCCGACTTCCTTCTTTATAGCGATCGGCACCTCCTTATCGTCGTTATTTCCTTTTATATTATTCCGTTTACCCGAGGTTAGCTTTACCGGGGCGGGTACCTTAGTCTTTCGGAGGAAGGTAAGATAATATTCTTTTATAAGACCGAGACTAGATTCGCGCAGAAACGCACGGAGCGTTATAGTGTTATACGCCTTATTACGGAAGAAGATAACGGTTTTCGGGTTCTTCTAATCGTATAGAAAGACCGTAAGATCCTAGTTAAATTAGTATTTATCGGATATAAACTGGCTTATAAGGTAGCGTATAAAGTCTTAGTGGTTCGGAAAAGTCTAGTCTAGTATAATCGAAACGCGGCCGGTAATTTTTTATCCTTTAATCTTTATAAACTTTAAGATATCCATGCCGCCGATATCTTAAACGTAGTACTCGCCGCTATATAGGCTAATACTAATCTCCTTTATAGCCTACGGCTGCTTTTCTTTCTATATTAATTAGATACTAGCCCTACGCTACGCTTTACCAGTTCGAAACGCAGTTAAAAGCACTCTACCCTATACTTACGCCTACGCGACGGCGCCGGGTGTATAAAGCGCCTTCGGTTCCGTATCTTCGCGCTTTAAGCGGGGAGGAGTATCTACGGTTAAGTCGATAACCGTGTCGTTGTCGTTAATAGGAGGTATTAATTCGTTCTTAAGAAGTATAGTTTCGAACCGGCCTATACCGTATTTAGCGTATACTAACTAATCGGGATTAGTATCGAAAAGAATAGTATAATAGACCTTAATATTAGGGTAAATAAGTATAGTTAGGGGCGTTATTATGCAGACTATTATATAACTGTTAGCGTAGATGCCTCTTCTAAATAGACCCTGCGATAGTTATATAGATATATATAGGGCTGTATAGATTAGGTTTTTATATGTGTGCCCTATAACCCTGCTTAATTATATCTGTATACGCCTATATATAAATCGTACTACTAGGTAGAAGACTTCTACGGCCCGGGTAAACCTATTAATTAATTGTTACTATTTTTAGAAGTTGAAACAGACCGTCCTGCAGCTTGCCGTACTCCCCTTTCGATCGCTAAAGAGCCGCTCAGAGATCGCTCCCGCACCTGCACCGTATGGCTCTCCAGGAGGGAATATATCTGAACCACAGTAACGGTTCCCGAAAGAAAAGAAAAAAAAACTCGCAACGGCCGATATTTTCTTCATTTTTATTTTTTTTATTTTTTTTTATTTTTTTTTTGTATCGCGAGGTTAGATGAATGCATGGCCGACTCGAACTGCGTGTCATCGTCCTTTCTGCATGTTGGCCCTGGAAGTTTCTGTCTCCCAAAGGTCAGGGACGCTGCAATTCGCCGCCGAGGTGATACAAGTTAATGCAAGTAAGGATCAAGTGACCGGCTTTCATCCGGCACTACCTTACTCATCGTTGTATTGTACGAAGTACACCGCAGGAAGCCATTCAAGTCATTCCAGCGATGCACTCGGTACACAGCCCCGACCCGTCGCGACTCGTTGGCGGTCCTAGACATTCTTCAGACATTCTAGCGTCATCTCCGCCGAACGCAACCCTGGGGCAGTTTTAGTCTGTCCTGTGAAAGCGGGGTGAAGAGCGAAGTGCTTCGAGTTCGGTCAAGCACCCGGTTACGGGACGCGCCATCCAGACCTACGAGCGGGAGAAAATCGAGGATTTGAAGGTCTAGAGCACAACGGCAGTGAACCATCTTCGTAACCGAGAGTCGATACGTCGAAAAATGAGATGGATTTGTAGCAAGCTAGAGGTCCAATTGATGCAAAGTCTCTATATTCGATCGTGCGGTGCGATGAAGCGTGACTCGTGTCGAAGCTGATTGCAGGCAGGACTGGTCTGACGTAATTACGTCCCAAGCGGCGTTCGTCGAAATGTCTTCAGATGTCACTCTATCACGTGACCAAACCTCATGTCCCAGACACGGCACGTCGACCAGCTTCGGTCCTGCTAGCACTACCGACCCATTGAGATACAAAAAACATAAGGTACCCACGTCCCACGTCGCTACTGATGCCCATGATGACCCTCGACACGAATGCCAGGTTCGCCACGATTTGGCTGTGTGCCATGTCAACGGTAAACGATTGGAAGTTAGTGAGGTATTGCAGTTCATGATGATACCATCGTGAAGAGATTCCGAGACGGGCTTCCACGTTCTTTCATCCGTTCGAGTACCAAGTCTGTCGGCGAGGCGAATCGCCCTGCCCCGGATTCTCGCACTGCTGTCTCAATCATTCTATGCCTCCTGCTTTGGTTCTTGAAGATAGGGCCCTTCGGCATTTGTTGAACTATATAACATCAAAAAGTACCTACGTCAAGTAGAGGATTCTCTTTTGGTGGAGTGGTACATTTTTGAGTGTGACACCATTGACCTACGGAGTAGCAAACGAGTTCCGAAAGTATGCAGGCATGCTGCTAGCACGATTGCATTTTACGTGGTCGCTTAGCAGGACTTAGGGCCCCTGACCCCAATTAAGCTTGCCTACCTCTCCGTAGGTACGATGATATGGCATGGGCCCATTGATCGCGCGTCTGCCCGGTAGACAGAACCACGCTCGGGGTCCGCCCCCTAGCCGCGGCCCCGTCCTCAATCCTCTGAAATGGTTTAAACTTGGCAGGACGATAAGCTTTGGTTGGAAGCGTTTGAGCGACGCGGATCCCACGATCCTTGCAAAGACGTTGCCAGAGACGTCAAACGGCCTCGAGCTACTTAGAGGGCCTAGGTGGCTCGTTGCCCCCGACGCTGCCTCCGTATGGGCGTGTTTCCCCGCGAAAACGTCCAAAGATGATATACTTTCGCGAGCCGATGCTGGCCGGTAACACTAATTACTTAGGTGCAATGTATGAGACGGTGTGGCGATGTTGCCGATCTTCTCGAGGTACCTACCGCTCGAGTTTACCTGATAGTTGTAGGCAAACCTATGTGCGCGTCCGGCAACCGTCTAACGGCCCTCATTGGACCTGCGGGCTGCTTGTACCAAGCCCGAGCGAGCGTAGAAATCAAATTTAGGCCGGCGGATCGCTAACTTGATTAGAGGACGTTCGAAGAGGCGTCAGGACCAGAGCTTAAAGATGTTAAGAATAGATTCAAGCTGAGACGGGGAAAGCGGTAGAGTATGGGTAGAACCCTAACTAGCTTCAACATCGTGCACAGAGCTTGGGCGCTGCTGAAAGAATGGACCGCAATCTAGGCTCAAAGGACGACGTTAAGTAGCGCTCATTAAGATGGCCTAGGACGTACGTACTTCCCATCATGATATAAACTCCCACAACAGAAAACGATTTTTGGCAAGTCAAAAGGTGAGACAACTCGACCCCCAAATCCGTGCCACGACATCAGCTAACGTACACCGGAACCTATTTGCCTTTCTTCTTAAATAAAATTACTTCTCGAACCGGCTCGCAACCGTCTTCCAGTTGATAACGTTCCAGATGGCCTCAAAGTACTCCGCCTTGCGGTTCTCGTACTGCAGGTAGTAGGCGTGCTCCCAGGCGTCGATGCCGAGCAGGGGCTGCAGGTTGCCGGTGACCGGGTCCTGGTTGGCGCGGGTCACGAGGCCGATGGTACCGCTCGTCTTGTCCTGGACGAGCCACGCCCAGCCGCTGCCTTGGATACCGGCCAAGGCTGTGTTGGTCTGCTTCCGGAAGGTGTCGAAAGAGCCAAAGTCCCTCTTGATGGCGTCCTATACATTTGGGATGTGTCGTTAGTATAATGATCGGGCTCGGGAAGAGGAGAAATTCAAAAAAAGGTTCGAGATGAATCCGAACGGAACTGATCAACGACGGTCAAGCGGAGGGAGAAACATACGGCTAGGGATCCCGAAGGCTCACCACCGCCTTCCTTGCTGGCGGGGGCAAGGTTTTCCCAGAAGAGGCTGTGGTTCAAGTGGCCACCGCCATGGAAGTTGATGAGAGGCGCCTGGGCCGCAGCCTTGGTGAAGTCGCCTTTCTCCTTGGCCTCCTCGACCGTCTCGAGAGCTGTGTTGAGGCCGTTGACGTAGGTCTGGTGGTGCTTGGAGTGGTGCAGCTCCATGATCTTGCCCGAGATATAAGGCTCGAGGGCGCTGTAGTCATCTAAACATGGTTCGCGAGAAGATCGATCCGTCAGCGAGGGCATCGGAGTGGGGAGGGGGAGGGCGAAGGAACATTGCGGACGAGTCTGGAATTGACTCGACTATGTAAAAGAGGCTACTTACACGGAAGGTCAGGCAGGGTGGCCTTGCTACGGACAAAGCTGGTGCCGAACAGGGCGGCGGCTGGCTTTGCGGCCGGAGTACGCAGAGCCGCACGGATGGCGGGAGTAGTGCGAAGGAGAGTGGAAGCCATGGTTACTGGTTCACTGCTGATATCCCAAGCGAGTCAGTCAATGGACGGTTCTTGTTGATTATTGACACCGTTGGGGCGGTAACAACTCGGCAACGGCAACGGTCTGGGCTGCCGCATTCGAGAACAGAAACTCTTACCAGTTCGATTTTCTTGGTGATTAAAGGGAAACGCGAATCGGGCGGATGAATTCGAGGGAAATAACTGACGGTAGAAATACAATTGGGCTTATGAACAGTCGCGTGTTGTGTCGTCTTTGAGAGTGGTGAATCAGCAAGTCGAGACGGAGGACTGGCGCTGGAGTTGAGTAGAGGACTTGGAATTTCGCAGAACATAACCGAGCTTCGTTCGGTTGAGCGTACTCTGGCGTCATAGGAGAATTGAGGAGCAAGCAAAAAGGACGACTAGAGGTGGTCCTAGCTCCATCTCTGGACAAATACAGGTACGAGGAACCCGCCAAGAATTCTTACCTAACACCGCCAAGGGTTTATTGACCATCGCGGGGTATCGTCAACAAAGACGCGTTCTTCGAAGAAAGCTATCAACATATTCATTCCTTCCGTTATATACCAATCGATCAAACTGGAGCTCGTTCGGGCTGCTTACCTGAAGCTGTGCTGCATAGATCATGTCATATTACGACATTGACTCCATCCTCACCGATGCAGAGGTACCATCTTCTCTCTTTCCTCATAACACCCTTGGCCTGTTCCTCTACCTTTGTCGAGTCTCGCCGACAAAAACTTTGTCAGGTCCGCCAAACAAGACGATGCTGACTATTCCGTCCAGAAAGTTCCCTGCAAGTTCGAGCTTGACCTCCCCGACCTGGGCTACCTCGACAACAACCCATCCCACGCTCTCAAAGCCGGGACGCAGCTCGCCCTCCCTCTATGGCTCGCCGAGATGCTGGCCCTGGCCAACACCGGCACATCCGAAGATTCGCGCGCCCCGGTAACGCTCAACCTACCCGAGGCGCTTTCGGAACGAGTCATCGGCGCCCTGAAGGCCGACCCCCGCTCCGTCCCGTTGCGCGACCGGAGCGCTCACTTTTACGGGCTCGGCACCCACATGCTCGACCTCTTCGAGGAACGCGAGCTGAGCGCCATCCTCCGTCGGACGTTCGTCACGCGCGCTGCCGATATTGCGCTCCATGCGAGGAAGGCTGGCGACGACGGTGTTGGTGGGTCTAGCGAGGACTTCCTGAGAGGCTTGGACGAGTGGGAGCGAAGTCTTTTCCGGAAGGCACACGAGGGGACCAAGTCGACGAAGGAATGGATGGACAAGGTCAAGAAACGATGAGGCTGAAGTCAAAGGCCATTTCTACCAATTGACGAGATACGCGTCAAGGCGATCCACCATGCAGTCGCCAATCGCGCCAAGCCGGCGGCGACATGCGCGGACAGGGTCAAGGTCAGAGCTTATGGAATATTGCAGCCCCGCAATGGCAGACGGGTCGCAGTGCTCCCGAACGGCAGTACCATTGTCCTGCGTCGACGGGCGTGGGCTGCTGGATCGGGCAAAAGATGGAGTCACCTGCCGCAGGTTGCCCTTGGCTCCAGGTTGAACGAGATCGAAGATCGAACAGCGAGTCGTTGCCAGAGGAGGCCTTGCTCGTCTCTACTTCTTCCCGGAAAAATAGGCTTACGACGGCCAACAAGCCTCTTTCTCTGGAGGCCATGCCGAGAGATGATGGAGGGTCCCGCGACCAGCTGCAGCGATTGGTTGCGAACATGACGTTCGGGAACCCGGTCTACAATGAAACTACCTATGCCTTTTTCTCAACACGAGCAATATGAATAGACGATCCGCCACATCGAGTCACGAGTCAGAGGCAGGATAGAACCATGCCGCGACCCGTGTGCGATGCCCAACACGATCCCTTTGGAACCTCGGCGAGGGGCATCATGGTGGTCGCTATCCGCGATCAGTAACGAGTGTATCCGGCAAGTCCAAGACAGTGGCGCATTGTGTTGATGACCAGGCCGAATGATTCTGTCACGTCCCACTCTCAGCATTCTCAACCCCGGACTGGCTGCTTTTTGCCGTGGGTTGTTCGGCCAGATTCACAAATGTCCGCCCAGACCAAATGTGTATCTTTGCTGCGAAACTCGAGGGGCCAAGGTCAAGACATCAAGCACTCGGGTTGACAATCGGGATACTGCAAAAAGCGAGGTGACCGGGTACACTACGACGTTGCTTCCGAGGATCTGGGGATGGCTGTTAAGGTGATGAAGCTGTCAAAACAGTTACCATAGGGTTGGGCTTCAGGAGCGGGGCAAACGCAGCAATTGTGCAAGTCGAATCGAGTCTAAGGTACCTTACATATAGATACCAGGTAAGGTAGCTAAGGTAGGGAGTACACAATATCAGACCCGAGTATCAAGCCCATAAGGTAGGTACCTATATGGGTTGAGTTACGGAGTAGGTACGCATAACTGCCTCATGAATAGAGCCATGTCCGCCAACTACCTCACCTTACCTGGGCACCCCAAGGGAAGGTGTAGCCGACGAATATGACGAAGTATATCCTTTTGATTCTCTCTTAAGGTAGGCAGGCAGGAGAAATGTCCACCGAACTCATCCATGGATACATTCCGGCGTTTCCCTTTTGGTCAAGGACCTGTTTGGGGGGGCAGTACTACCTGTAGGTACCTTAGAGATCGAGGCTCAGACAGTAATTGATACTTCGTAATTACCTATTGTCGGTCTTGTGGGTACATCGAATGTGCAACATGAGTGTACCTTATTAGGTACCTATAGGTATCCGTACATATATACTCCGTAAGATATATGCCTAATTATCGTGAGGAAGCGACGACCACGGCTGCGCTCCCAAAAAAGGTACCTACCTTACCTTAGCCAACATTCTCTTCTTTTGCATCTTATCAGACTGGGGCTCATTTCCCCTCTTTTCCTTTCTTTTTTCTTTTCTTTCTTTTTTCTTTTCTTTCTTTCTTCCCCTTCAGCCAACAAATCAACCAAGCCAGACTAATCTATCATGCCGCCACGATAGAGGCGAGACGAACGCTGGGGAAGAGAGTGGTCGCCGATACTGTCGAAATTGGGTCTAGCCGTCTCCCACTTTCTCGCCCCCAGACAGGCTTCCGGAAGGGCGTCCTAATCTATCAAGAAACACCTACCAGAGCCTAACGGTCTCCGGTCCCAAGTCCATGGGAGAGATTGATATCGCAAAGATACCAAATAAGGCCCTTCTTGAACGTGGGGACTTCATCTCGGCCAGACTGGTCCAATGGTCCAGCATTGCCATGTGGAAGATGCCATGATTGTTTGCCACTCTTCCTGCACAAAGAACCAATATGAAGATGGGTATTGATTAGCCATGTGGCGCTGGTTGCTGGATCCTGCTGCGCTGCATCTCACCCGCAAGGGTCGCGTGCAGGGGCTTTTGATAACGCAGACATCCTCCAGATTACCAGTTCCAACAACAGATATCCGACGTCGGGTCGCATTGGCTGTCAGTTGTCAGTGGATAGATAAGTCCCAGCCAACGACGTTTGGTGTGGACGGGTTGGTAAACGAAGGGTACGGATGCTGAGTACGGATACTGACGAAACAACAAAAATTATCGGACCCGACCGATGCATGAGACCCCCTTCAGAAAGTTCCTGGGAAGATCAAGGGATTCAGAGCTGCGCTCGCCAGTACCGTTGTACAATGTAGGTCGTTTCCTATGGTTGTGGCTTGCTGAGGCGAGGGGTTCAAGTTCAAGCCAACGGGAGCACGCGCCTCCCATCCGAATAAGGTAGGCAATCCCTCCAACCGCCGTGCGTTGAATTGAACCATCCTGGCTGGCTCTGCTGGCATGTGATGGGGTCCCCGGGCCCCCCTTTGTGTCCCTACTGGGCATGAAAGTTGTCGATGGTTGACTGGCGACGAACCGGAGCAGAGGTCTCTTTCGCGTCACAAAGCATGCTGACGATTTGCCTCCTCATGACGATCCGTTGTCGAGCATCATCTTTCGTCATTAATGGCTACTTCCTTTCCACTTCGCATGCTCGAAGTCGAGTGTTCTGCTCGTTCGTCACTCGACTTTAACTTGGTCAAAAGCAAGCAGTTAATTCAGCCAACCCGAGAAACAGAACACAGAACGCCTCGGGCGAGTCCGAGATTATTGATTCGTGCAGCAGCAGCATCGCACACACCATGTTGTGCTTTGCCAAGTTAGCTCAGCAGGATCCTTGTCAGCGTTACCCGTCGAGCCAGGATTTGATGAAAGTCGCCATCATCCTCGTACCAACGTGGTGAGCCGACAACGATTGGTCCAAATCCATGTTCGGCCAGGACCAGCCATCTAATGAGGTTCCACATCGGCATCTGAACCCATGATTTCTTCTATCAACCTTCCAGAAGCGGAAGCGCCTTCTCGGCCTCTTTTTTAGTTCCCCACTGTAGTGTACTGGCGTTGTTGTCACCCCGGAGTCCCCAGCCAAAGAGAGTCCAAGGAATGCCCGCCGCAAAATCCACAGAAGGAAAATATGAGCGTGATAGGGTTGGTCGGCTCGGGGATAAGCCAGGGCCCGCGAAGCCAACCGACTCTTATCTCTTGTGGATGCAAGCCACAGCGGGGGCTGTTCGGACAACACCAAACCCAAAACCACAGAGTACAGGGTCAGTACTTCTGTCTGGCGGCGATGCTCCCTTTGCGACTGAGTCGATGACGAGTCGTTTCCTAGTACCTCTTGGTTCTCACCTTATAGCTTATTTTGCGCCACCTAGACACTGGCTCCGGTAGACGCCCGCCGGGGAAGGCTTTTCCTTCCTAGCTTTTGTGGCTTGTGCCCCATCCCGCGACGGCGTCCTTTCGCTGGCTCTCCCGCTTCTCCATTGTTCTCCACCCACCCACAGTCCGTCAACTGATATGCCGTTCGCAGCATTTTCTTTGTCGTCCAGGTACCTGACGTTGAGAGTCGTTCGCTAGCCGTCTTGCTATAGTCGAGAAGAAGAGAGAAACCCGGGACGAAGAAAAGAAAAGGGAGCAGAAAACCCCAGCCGGGGTGCCATGACAGTCACTCACCTCTACCAAGTCGGGAAGGCGTGAGAAAGAGGGGAGGAAATAAGCAGAGAGAAGACGACCAACCGACAGGGTTAAGCGATCACTGACGGGAGACGAGTGGGCGCGAGCGACCGGCCTCTCCACATGGAAACGGCGAAACTGAATCCTCTCCAGGCTTGGCTACTGATAAGCTCCATCCAGTGTCGTGAGTCGTCCTGTGTACAACGTAAGGGCCTGCGTAAAGGGGACTTGGGGGTGACTTTTGGGATGGGAGAACTCGTCCAAAACTTGGGTCGCTCCTCTTCCCACCCCCTTTTCAACCCGGACTCTCGGCTCAAGCTAAAGATACCCACAGCTCTTGCCCCTTGGCGGTCTCTCCATTCTCTCCTCGACGGATCGACAGCCCATACCTGGTCTGTGAGTGGCGGCCAAGTAAAACGCGACCGATGGAGAAGGGAGACGAACCCTTTTAAAAGCGACCTCGGCCCTCCTACCAACAATTCTCTGTGTGCCCTTCGCCCTGGGACGTCGCGAAGCTCTCTTCCGCCCCTTCGCATACCCTTTCCCGCTTCACCTCAACACCACCTTCGGGTCCTTGGGTGCGTATGAAACCGGAAGACTCCTTCATCCCCTCTGGTGATTGCAGATCAATGCAATAATCTGAACTGCATCATCTCTTTCTCTTTGCTGTAGTGGGATTGTAGATCGACGCAAGCTGACATTAAACTGTCACAGGATCGGTCAGCAAGGGTTACTTCAACATTTGAACATCTCCCCGTGTCTTTCGCGACCATGGCATCACCCGTCCCGGCCGACAAGGAGGTCGGAAGCTCCCCCCCTCCTCGAACACCCGAGCGGCCCGTTTCACCACTCGGTTTGCGCCGCAACTCGGACCCGGTTCTTGACCCGGCGAACCAGCACCTTCACCCGCACCGGCATCATGCGCCTGGCGTGGGCGACGACAACATTGTCTATGCCAAGGGAGGCAACAGCCCGATGATCGTACCCGAGCAAAGTTCGCTGCATCGCCACGACCACGACCACCACCACCATCACGCTTCGCGAGTGAGCAGCGAGAACGACGTCGAGAAGCAGAAATTCGGCACTGGACCCCCGGACTACGTCGATGGCGGCGAAAAGGTTGGCGTCGTTGCCCGCGGCGACGAGGAGGCGTCCTCGGAGGGGCAGTTGCAGCCAGAGCCGAAATGGAAGCGCCTCTTGCGCCGCCACCGCCGTCCAATGACCCACCTCGCCGTCTTGGTGGTCATGACCGGGTGGTGGATCGCCTCGCTCGTCCTGTACGCTGGTAGAAGGAACTGGGTCATCCCGTTCCTCGTCTGGCTCACCATCGTGCTTCGACTCGTCTTCTTCTACGTCCGCAGTTCTCGCGTCTCTGGGCCCATCAAGTGGGTATGGCAGCGCACGGCCGTCGTGGTCTACGACCGCCTGCCTCCCAAGTCGCGCACCCCTCTGGGCGCCGCCGTCGTCATTGCTGTCATGATCGTGGGGTCGTTCGCCTCGGAGGAGTTCGCCGACAACACGCGCGAGAACCGCGCCGTGTCGCTCTTCGGCCTTGCCTTCACCATCTTCATCTTTTGGCTCACCTCGCGTAATCGGCGCATGGTCAACTGGCGGCCCGTCATCGGCGGCATGCTGTGCCAGTATATCATCGCGCTCTTCGTGCTTCGTACCGGCGTCGGCTACGACATCTTCCGCTTCATCGCCGACCGCGCCGGCGACCTCCTCGGCTTTGCCGGAGACGGCACCCGATTCCTCCTCAGCAACACGTTCACCGATGCCGCGTACGGACAGGGCGTCTTCATCGTCCTCGTCATCCCGCCCATCATCTTCTTCGTCGCCATCGTCCAGGTCCTCTACTACATCGGCTTCCTACAGTGGTTCATCGGCAAGTTCGCCACCTTCATCTTCTGGCTCCTCCAGGTGTCCGGCGCCGAGGCCGTCGTCGCTGCCGCCACGCCGTTCATCGGCCAGGGCGAGTCGGCCCTGCTCGTTCGCCCGTTCGTCCCGCACATGACCCGCGCCGAGCTGCATCAGGTTATGACCTGCGGTTTCGCCACCATCTCGGGCTCCGTACTGGTCGCCTACATCAACCTCGGCCTGAACGCCCAGGCCATGGTCTCGTCGTGCGTCATGTCCATCCCGGCATCGCTGGCCATCTCGAAGCTCCGCTATCCCGAGACCGAGGAGACCCTGACGGCCGGTCGCGTCGTCCTGCCGGATGACGAGGAGCACAGGGCCCAAAACGCCATCCACGCCTTTGCTAACGGTGCCTGGCTCGGAATCAAGATCGCCGGCAGCATCATCGCCTCCCTGCTCTGTATCCTCGCCTTTGTCGGTCTCGTTGACGGCCTCCTCACCTGGTGGGGCAGCTACCTCACCATCAACGGACTCACCCTGAACCTCATCTTCGGATACATCTTCTACCCTGTCGCCTTCCTGTTGGGCGTTCCTCGCAATGAGGATCTCCTGCGCGTCTCTCGTCTGATCAGCGAGAAGGTCATTATTGTAAGTTTGCACCCTTCTTTTTGGTCTCCTCTGCCCTCTGCCCCTTTGCCCCTCGAATCGAGGTTGATGTCAATGGATTCAAAATAACTGACCCCTGATACTTTTAGAATGAATACGCTGCCTTCACTATGATGAGCGAGGCCCCTTATAACCAAATGTCGCCGCGGTCCGAGATGATTGCGACCTACGCCCTCTGCGGCTTCGGCAACATTGGTTCCCTCGGTATTCAGATCGGTATCCTGTCCCAGCTGGCGCCCAGCCGCAGCGGCGACGTTGCGCAGCTGGCCGTCAGCGCCCTCATTTCGGGTGTCGTCTCCACCTTGACCTCCGCTGCTGTTGCCGGCCTCGTCATCCAGAACGAGGTCTAAACGGAAACGGTCGAGTTGGGTTTGTTGTTGTTGGTGGTGTCTGTCTGTACGCTCGTATGCCGTGTTCCATATGATCGATCGATGCGCCGGTTGGATATAAAGCACCACTGTGTGGTGAGGCATGCAGGCCGGAGAGTCGTGCGAAGCCATTCATGTCGTCTGGGTTATAATTTTGACCTGTCTTGGTCTTGTGTTTTTCCACCCAAGAGAATACCCACCTGCGTCTCGCCGACGTAGACATTTACTCATTTTCGTCCACGCTTCGACCCTAAACGTAAGGGTCTTCCCCCATTTCCGAACATGGTGAGTAAAAGGTCTCGGGGAGAGCTGCTTTGAAATCATCAGCATGACCCTAGACGACGACAGCGCGGCTAGCATATAGTCGTGCTGCATACATACAGTGGGTGGACTTAGGGGCTCTTCCCACGCGTCTATTTGGCTTCGAAACCTTTGCGGACTCTACTGTAGTCGCACAAGGGACCCTGTCTGTCCTCGGTGTATCGGCAAGTTATTAACGCCATAGGCACCTGGACTACTGCTCCGCCTCCCCCTTTTGCCGAGTCGTTTCTTGGCCGGGTGAGCCACCCCCGAAATATCAGGACATGGAGGCATTGGGATGGATGTGACATTTCCATTCTCGACCGGCAAGACGAAGAAGCCGACTTTGTTATGAATACAACAGTTTCCTAGAGGCTATAGTATAGGACCTCTCCCTCTATACCGGGGGAACAGACGTGAAAAGAAGCAAGGTGCATTGAAGCTGTCTAGGGGTCACAATGAGCATTGGGCGTATGTTACTATACTACTCGTGCCATGAATCCCAACGCCAATACTAATCCGTATTTCTCTTTTTTGCTCTTCCGTCCTGCCATCTCTAACAGTTCTCTTGCTGCTCGTCGATCATTCTAACACCCCCCATCAAGTCATTTACCACTCCCTTGTCCCATGCCCCCTCGTCACTACAAGCCCCGGAACCGCCTATTGAACTCCTCCACGGCCACAGCCACCATTTTGTATATATACGTCCTCCCGCTCTCGTCGCCTATGGGTATAAACGGTCCGTTGGTGCCGCCTCGCAACGTCAGGCTCAGTCCCGTGCGCTCCTTGGCGATAGTCTGGACGTCCTTCAGCGGCACGTCCCATTCCGACGTCAGACGCCGGCTGCGGATCAGCAGGATGCGCGCGTACGTCACCATGACCACCATGTCCTCCCGGGGCAGCTCCAGGTGCGCGATGTACTGCTCGTTGAAGTACTTCCCGTTGTCCACCTGCTTGAGCCAGTACTGCCCCATCGACTCGCGCGCGTTGTACGGCCGCACGATGCCGTCCGCGGGGATGAACCGCGCGTACCGCACCCGCTCCAGCTCCGCCCCGTCAAACACCGTCGTCGTGTTGCGGATCCCCTCCGACACGTTCGACGCCATGTCCAGCACGCCGATCGCCGGCTTGGTCGCCAACCCCACCATGCCCTTGCCGAGGCCCTTGAAGAATCCGACCGCCCCCTCCTGCTCGGCGCCCTCGAGCGGCTTCCGCACGAGACCCCCGACGCCCGACGCCGCGCTCGTGAAGAACGAATTGGCTCCCGCCGTGACCCCGTACAGCGCGTGCTTGGGTCGGTTCCGCGCCCGGGTGATGCGGCGCCGATCCTGGAACTGCTTGTCGAGCGTGGCCGCCGCCAGGCCCTTGGACAGACTGCCCGTGAACTTGGAGAACGAATCCGAGAAGCCGTAGACCGACTTTTTCACAAACGATGCCGCGCCCTTGCCGACCCCGAGGGCGAAGTCCTCCGGCTTGTCGGAGAGGATGAGGCCCTGGTACGGTTCGTAAAACACGTCGGTCAACCCCGAGCTGATGTTGTTGAAGAGGCCGACCGGATTGCCCAAGAAGTCGGCCGACCCGAGGATCTTGTGGACCTGGAACAACACCTCTTGGCTGTAGTGGTTCGAGATGCTCTGCGTCAGCGCCGGCACCGACACCCTGACGTTGTCCAGCATGAGTGCGTTCAGTCGGATGGGCGCATCGTTGACGTTGCCGATCGCCATGGTCATGACGTTGAGGAAGAACATGAGCGGGTTCCGCGACGACGTCTTGTCTTCGGCGTTGACGCGTTCCGTACGCATAAACGAGAGGTCGAGCTGCATGGGTTGGATGTTGAGGAACTCGAAGTACATGTCCTGCCCAGACTGTTGCTGCTTCGGCTCGGGTATGTCGAGCTCTTCGTCGCAGAGTCTGCCCTCGTCCTCATTCTCCGACCAAGTTGCGCCGGGGATGTTGGCGAAGTCCAGCACCGCGTACACAAAGTCTTCGTCGAGCTCGACCGTCATCTGCTGCAGTAGGACGGTGGCATATTTGATGTAGAGGACGCCGTACGAGTCGTCCTTGACGCGGGTGACCATCGCGTGTATCGACGGGTGGGCTTCTACCTCCTGGGCCTTGGTGGGAACGACACTGGGGTATAGGATCATAGGAAACAGGCCGCCGTAGAGTTGATTGTCCATCTGAATCCACTTGACCGCCAGGCTGAACGTTTGGTGGAGCGCCGACTCCTGATACCGGAGCTGAACGTCGCGGAACGTGATGTAGGCCAGCTCGCTCAAATGCGCGTTGATAAGCGAGATGCCGATGCCGGAAAGCCTAAGCTGCGCTCGGAAGGTCGCTCCCGTGTCTTGCTCCTTGACTTCGAAGCCTTCTGTGCTCGTGCGTGACCCCCCGGACCTGGACTTCTGCCGGTACACGCTCTTGGACGCCCGGAAGTTGGAGAGGATGAGAGTTTGCGTCGGCCCGTCCGCAGCGACGTTGATGTCGATGATCTTCTGCTGGCCTGACGACGAGACGAACTTCATGGGAATCTGGTTGCCGATTTCCGCCAATTTGACGTGCCGCTCCTTGCCTTGGGCACAGATGACAATCTCTCGGAGCTTGGCCGCGGGGAAATCCCAGGCATACGGCATGATGCTGCGAGGCGGGAGCCGGTATCGAATGGGTCGCCAGCCGGACCGGTCCTCGTCGCTGTCATCATCGACATTGGGGTTGGCCTGGTAGAACGTGAGCTCGGCGTCGCTCTCGTTGCGCATCGAGTATGGCCAGTTCCTCGTCTCCATGCTAAGATGCACGAAAATGGTCGCCCCCTCCATCAGGATCGAAGCGCATATGAGGCGCTGTCGCTGACCCGCTCGGGCAATTTTAACGTGTGTAGTACCGATGTCGGAGATATTGAACGGCGACGACCACTGGTTGTTCACGCCCGTATAACAGAGCGAGAGCTGCTTGACGCGCGTCTTTTGCATAAAATGAAGGGGTTGGAAGGACCCTGGCTTCAGTGTCATGAAGCCGGATGTGCTCGACTCCCGCACATTGAGTTCCTCGTCAAGCTTGTTTTCGATAACGAACCGTGGAGCCAGAGTGACCACCTTGGTCATCTTGTATTTGCCTTCCCCTGACTCGATCGTGATGCCGACGTGAATCTCCGTATTGTTCGCCCTCGTAGATGGTAACACCACTTCGTTCGAGCTGCCGATGGCGTCGAAGCTCTGTGGCTTGCTCCACTCCGAGTCGCCAATCCGGAGGAGCGCGCGATTCCGGTTGTCGTTGTTGCCATACGAAAATATCAAGGGCGTGGCCTTGGATCGATCGGCACCAGCTGGAGATTCCTGGCTGAGCGCTGATTGTCCCGCTGCCGGTCTCGCAGACTGCATGAAGGACTTCGCCCGCATGTTGACGGGCAGTCCCGTCTTGTTCAGAATCACATAAGGGCTGTAGACTGTCACCCGGAACGCCCCGCCGCAATCCGGCATTTTGAAATAATGCAGCATGAGCGTAAGCTGAAGGTTGTCCTCGTCCTTACAGACAAGCTTTCTCTCTTTCCTGAATTCTTCCGACTGCCCCGAGTTGATCACGGCAAAGTCGCTCGCCTTGAAGACCGTGTCCTGCATGTCGATGCTGAGAAGGAGGAGGTGCGAAAGCTCCACGACGTGGACGGGACTAACGCCGCCCTTGCGGAGGAAGTTGGTCCAATCTTTCTCGGTGTTCTGGTCGTAAATGCGGTATTTGAAATCGTGAGGGAGCAGATTCTCGAGGACGATAGGAGGTGAAACTTTCAGCCTCATGTACGGGTACGTTCTGCGAAAATGTCAGCTCGGTCACTACCACCCTTATTCTCCTCCTCAACGGGGGGAACAAGCTGTTCTTCGCAGGACTTACCTCGTCAATGGCATAGACTTGTCGTACGTTGCGTGCACTTGGAAGTAGAAAGGATCACCATTTTCTCCCCTGCACACGACTGTTCTCGTCGGTTTTTTGAGGAGATCCTTCCACCAGAGCGTCTCGGACGACCAGGCATACCCAAAGCCAGAGTCCGGTCGGATAAGGAGCGATTTGAGGAATACGGCGCCGACCGGTGCTGGCCGGGACTCGCCGGGCGCAATCTTCTCAATCTTGAGGAGGTGGCCCTCGTCGGCATCGTAAACCCCGAGCTCCACCGGGATCTGAGTGTGATTCTCGACCAGAAGCGGCGATCGAAGCGTGACATATTTCACGTTGTCTTTGCCGAGCGTGACCTCGACCAGCAGCCGATGGAGGACTTCGTCGGTTTTGGGTCGCAGACCGTAAATAAATTCGCCCTCGCGGTTGAGTCTGACGTTCTTGACCATATCAAAACCGCTACCCTCGAGTTGAACACCGATGCTGTTTGAACTGGCCTCTGCCATGAGATTCTCACGCATTTTCTCCCAGGGTTCGAAGCTCCAAGGCACCTGTTGGCCGTCCTCGAGCCGGGTCGTTGCAACTTCATCCGCTTCGCCGCTCTTGGCATGGACCACAACTTCAAACCCTGTGTAGTTTCGGATCCGGTAAGGCGCCTCAACTCCGCGGGGCTTCCCAAGAACATCCTGCTCCTGACTGAGAAAGGCGAGGGACTTGGAAGCCAGCGCAATGGTGGACGTCGTGATCGTGACATCGAATGTTGTCTTGGATGTGACATCGATGGAAAGCAGTCCATTGTCCTGTTCCTTGGCGATGCCCACGCCCATCTGCCAAGGCTCGAGGAGCGGCTCCCATGCCGACTTGGAGAAGTTGTAGACGTTCATATACATGTCGATGGCAGTGCCGGCCTTCAGATCGGTCGACCAGTTTTCGGCGGAGGTGGTAAATTGCCTGACGCCGAGGTCGAAAATGGGCAGTTCGTGAACATCGCCAATGAGGACGACACGAATCCCGTCTATATTCGCTGTCAGTTCTTCGTGTCGGCGTGTAACCTGCCCGGAGCCGACACCCTCGTGCTCTTCTGCCTGGGGAGCATGTGAAGAAGTGAGTCTGGTGTCTCGAGTTTGCCTCCCGAGGGTTGAGGCGCCTCGGCCACTGGCGGTCCGTTGCTTCAGCCCGGCCATTCTCAGCTGTTTCGCCTTCTCATCAGCCGCCGACAACCTAGGCTGCTGCTGCTGCTGGGGTTGACTCTCCGAGAGTTCCGTCGCCTTCCTAGTGATTTGCAGTGCGAGGAGGATATCTCGTAGCGATAGACGAAGGATCAGCGGTTCTACATCGACATGAATGCTCGTCAATCCGGGTTTGGAGCTGTCCATCGACACCTGGATCGAGAAGTCATCGATAATCCGGAGTCGCGAGTCCTCGAACTTGTCCATACGACACAGGAACATTCCCACTTCCGATACCTGGAAAGTCATGGCATGTTGCTGCGAGAGCAGGACCTGCTTGACGCCGAGCACAATGGCCTCCGAGCTGGTGCTGAGAGGGTTGGCGATCAGGATGACTTGGGCGTCGACCACATTGGCTCTGAAAGCGACGCTCATGGACGGCTGACTTTCTTTCTCGACTGGCGCATTTTCTTCGTCTTCGGGCCCCGGCTTGTGGGATGCCCTCCTTGTTGTTACCAGCGGCGTTGACTCGGCATCGGCTTCGGATTCCTCGGGAGAGGTCACCTCTGACAACGACTCGTCCTCCGCAGCGAGGGGCTCCGGGGTCTGCAGCCCAACCATGATGAAGTTTTGAATAGCAAAGAGGTAGTCGAGTGCAAATATGATGCGCGGGCTATCAATGGTCACCATGGCTATCACACTTCGGTTGCCGCCACCTGTCATGGTCACGCTGGCCATGAGTTGCTGGACCTCCTTGTTGAGGGACGTCATGATCCGTCGGAATTTGTTCGTCTCTCGAGACCGGCTATCGTGGATGGTGAAGGAATTAATGAGAAACTCGCCCTCCAGGGACCCATCGTTGAGCATGCGCGTCTTGACTCGGGTGTCGTCCAAGGAGAAGCGAGACAGGCTGGCGCGTTCGATGTCACCCACGGGCTTACCTTCAGGGGCATTGACGAGCTCCAAGCCAATCGTGCCAACTTTGAAAGCCAGGTCGAAGGTCGTCCACAATGTGTCACGAGCCCTGAGTTCTGGTTCGAGATCGATGAGCGCATCATCGTCTTGCCGGCCCCTGTCAATGGGCAGAGACTTGGCCCTCTTCAACGTGTCTTCGTCCACATCTTGCTCGGCCGACTCGCCCTGCTCTTCGGGGTCGCCACTAAACGCAGCGGGGACGGACTTGGAGATTTCCATCAAGAACCTCAATTGGTATTGCGTTAGTTTGAGGTGAAAGTCTGACATGGAGCCCTTGATTTCCATTTCCGGGCGCTTCTGTCCGGGCTGGTGCTCGGCGTAGGTGATGGTGAAGCCAAGGTCTACATGGTCGATGAGCTCCAATTCCTCAAACCCGTCATCGGGATAGTGGAAGTCGGATGTGAGACGGATATTCCGGATGCCAGCCGAGATCTTCGTGGCGATCTGAGCAGATTCCGAGTCGTCCAGGGGCGCGAACTTGTTTTGCGCATATATCTCACCGAGATACGCGGTCATCATATCTCTCCTCGGTTGACCAGGCACGACAACACGCGGGAACACCACGATCGGCGTCTTCACGACGATGTCATATTTGAGCCTGGTAGTGCTCTGCTGAATCTGGTTTGCCTGACTGGCCGCCGCTTGGCGTGCGGCATTGTAGATGGCCTGCATCTTCCCGAACTTGACAAGGAAGTCGAATATCTTCCGAAACGGCTCTTCGAGGAAATTGAGCTTGATCGACCCTGCCCTTAGGAATATGGACGAGTCATATCCGGGATACGTGTTCGGATTGCTCGCATCGAAAGTTTCGTAGCGGAAATCGGCAAGTTCATCACCCTCGATAGCAATGAGTTTCCGGAGGTTAGAGTGTTCGGACACGCCTTGGTTTATATCGTCGACGAGGCCAAGATCACCGAGTCTGGCCGACACTCTCATAGTCTTTCCTCGCAAGAAAACGCCGACGTCCGCATGATTGAATGACAGGGTGGCAAGCCGAATGCCGTCGTTGTTCAGGATCAATCGAATACTCTTCAGGTCCACCTTGACTCGGATCGATCCGCTTTCCACTGCCGAGCCGTCTGTGGCTTGGTCTACCGAGTCCAAAGAATCCTGGTCGTCGCTCTCGCTCTCCTCAATTGCCCGCCGCTCCTGTGCTGATGGGGCGTCGTTGTTGTTGCCTGTGAAAGTGACCAAGATGAAATCGAGCAGCGTTAACAGGGTCTTCCGCGTGACCACGAGGTTAATGGTGGAGATGGCGGCGTTGACATTGATCTCGACCCCTTCATAGACGGGCATGAACTCCGGAGAATTCGGGTTCACCTTGGTAAACTTAACAGAGACGAGACTTCGGTTATGCTTGCGATCTTCGACATCTCCCGAGGAGACAATAGACTTGAACTCGGCTGACGGGTTGTCAACAAAGTCGTCCATGGTCACCGATCCAAGCGACACTTCGGCCGACATGTCATAGGGGCGGAGGTAGTATTCAAGATCAAAGTCTTTCGCTGTAAGCTCGACCAGGAGCTGGTCTGGCTTCTTTTTGTCGGGATCGCTGCGGTACAGGGACCCCTTCAATGTGTCAACTTTGAACTTCAGTTCAAACTGTCGCTGCCGCAGCTTTAGCTGGTCATTGTCCACCCGATCGTGAGCGTCTTCAAACTTTTCATTGTCATCCTCATCGTCGATGTCAGCGTCATGGAGCACAATCGCCGTCTGTGGTTGTGCGAAGGGGAACTGGGTCGACATTTGGCGGCCGTGTCCCTTGTGAGCTCGATCAGACGTGGTACTCGCGAGGCGTGGCCTGGTCCGGGGCCGCCGCGATGGTGCTGCAGGCTTGTTCTTTTGTTGATCTCTCTCATCCAGCTCGTTGCCAAACTTGGGGATAGCAACGTCGATGATTCTCATCAGTGTTTTATACTTGGTGTCGGAAACGGCGGCATGAAGAACAGGCAAGTGGCCCGAGACCTTCACCTTGGTTAGATTGGGCGCTTTGGGGAGGATGGACGTTTCAACCACAAAATCGACGTTGATCTGGTCTACTATGTGCATTTGCTGCGATTCGTCTCTGTCAGCGAGCTGGGCCTTGGTGGCTTCGATGGATGGCCCAATGAGCAGTTGCGTCGAGGTTAGTCCGACCAGGAATTTGTCGTACATGGCGGACTCGAGCCGCTCAAAATCCTCGTCCGAGTAAGACTGTCGCTGCTTGGACTGGATCTGTTTCATGGTTTCCTGATCCACGAGCTTGCTGTTGACGCTGATGTGACCAGCGTCGAGAATCAGACATGTGGATTCCTTTGTCGTTATGCTCACGGGTACGATGATGAGAGGAGCTTTCAGATCCAGTTGCGCGTTGACCGTTTTGTGCTCCTCGAGGGCGAATTCCAAGCCCGCACGGGTTTGCTGCCGAATGCCTTCCACGGTAGCGCCGGCCGACTCCATGAGTGCACTGATAGACTCCATGTGCCGTTCGGGGGGTTTGAAGAACTGAACCACCCCCACCAACGAGTTGGGATTCCATATAATCTCGAGAGGCCTAAGAGAACCCACAATAGCAATGTCGCCGTCTCGGTCGATTGGGTTCTGTTCAACTTCAATGTTGAAGAAAGGTTCCTCGTCGAACTCCTCGAGTTCCTGTATGGACAACTTGTGTTTGTGGGTGTCAGGGGCGTCCTTTACGCGAACGATCTCGGGGAACAAGGTGTTCGGGGTAGTGCCGTCGTTGACGCGTAGTCCTCCCAGACTCAGAGCAGCGAGGATTGAATCGGGTCGTTGAAGGGCCTTGGCTTTCAAGACGTCAAAGTGAAAACTAATAAGATCCTTGAGTGAGCCGTCGCGTCTCTTCTTCAAAGTGAAACTTCCTGTGCTGAGGGAAGCTTCGACCTGCATCTTTACCGTCTCACGCGGCACATCGACAGACTCCGCCAGGGCCGTCTTCTCGTCCCAGTCAATTGCGTCGTAGAGCTCCTTCTTTTGCTCCTCTGTGATCTCGGTATTTTCATCTGTGTTTTCCGGTTCAGCAGGCTTCGAGCCCCACGCCCAGGCAAGCCATCCTTGCTGCTGCTGTTGTCGTTGAGCGGGTTGGTTCTTCAGGGCGGCAGCGTTCTCTTTTTTTAGCTGGCTGCGGCCGAGCGATCTCCAAAAGCGAAGGTCTTCGTAGTCCAGCTTCCGCTCAAGTACGTCAAGATCAGCCGTTTCTTGATCAGTAAACTGCTGTTGCTGCTTCTTTTTTTTGAAGAGCTCAATATAACGAATCCGATCATCACGGCGCTCGCGGAAGTAGTCCCACGACCAGCGCCGATTCCGTTCATGGATCTTGCTGAGAATGGCGTTTCCGGCAAACTTGAACCACGCCCTAGGGTCTTCCTTCGGTGAGACGGCCTTTGGCTGCAACTTCTTATACTCCTGGTGGCGTATGAAGTAGTGGAAGAGATCCACCATCATTAGACCGTCGCGGTACTGGTCGTCGTCAAGGACCAAACCGATCTCCTCGAACAGGAGACTCGCCTTGACTTTGGGCGCATGAACTTCGCCCGTCTTATCAAGAATGATCTTAGCCTGTCCGCTGACAGGCCGCAGGATATACTGATGGTCAGGCATGGCCTGGTCGGTACCCCCAATCATAGATTTGAATGTGTGGACCATCTCGTCATGTGGCAGGGGCGGCTTGCCATCCGGATCATTTTCGCGGCCAGGACCAAACAGCTCGGCATCGGTGTTCCAGTACATGGCGAGGGCCCCAAGCTTGGCGAGCTTGTGGGTTGATTTTGCCGTTCCTTGGATGAATGTGGGGGTCCATTTACCGTCAGTGCTGACGGCGCTGAACTCCTGGAGTGTGAGGCCAATGGCGAAGGGATGGCCCGGTGCGGAGAGAGAGTCCTCGTAGCGGATGTGGATATTCTTGACAGTAACCTGAAGGTTGTCGACGATCTTCGTGACTAGGCTCTGGGTAAAGCTCTGGTTTTTCTTCTCCTCTGCCTCGCTGAGGCCCATTTGGGAACGCTCTTTTAGAAGTTCGGCCGAGTCGAGCTTCTCCATTTTGATCCGTTGCCTACGGCGTTCTTCCTCTTCTTCGTCGTAGGCGGCATCCTCCTTGGGGGAGGCGAGGAGGAAGACATCTTCGATGAAGACCTTGACGGGAGCGCCACCGAGGTTGGACCAAGGTATGACGAGGGTCAGCTCGCCGAGGTGGCCCTCGATGACATTTATGGGAAGTTTGAGCTGATCAAGAGCTTCCTTGCGAAGCTCAAGGTTGCGAAGCTTGACATCACCAGACCAGATGCCCACTTTGAGTTGACCGGGGTCAAAGTTCTTGACGTACATGCCCAAGAACCTGTTGAGCAGGCCGGCAACCAAGCCTTCCAACATGGCGGGGGTATGGTGCCGTAACCCTGGCAAGGGAGGTCACTTATGTATTAGCCTGGATCTTCTCGCGGATTCATGGGCAGGCTGGGTCCTTGGGAGGGGGTCGCAAAAGAGGCTACTATTCTAGCGGTCGCTCGGAAGCAGGTCGGTAGCGATTTTCGTCTGTAGTAAAGGGGACGGGGGAAATGTAGAATTGATAGATCACGTTCCCGAAACGAGCCCCGGATTCTCGGGGGTCGGAGTTTGCGTTGGTCAATGGCCGGATGATCGTATGGATGGTCGAAAGACGCGAGCTCGCAAATTAGATGGCTCGCGTTGTGTAGAGGATGCTCGCGTATTAGATTATACCTTAATTGGGATGGATGTTGATTGGAGCCGAGTTAGGTATTGGCGTTGGGAGACGAAGCGTGCTGGGCACCTGGGCACCGAGTGCGGAAACAGTGCGTGCTGCTGTATGGCATGGGGTGTTAGAATTGGGCAGAAAGGCGGTCCAGAGAACTAACAAATCTGGCCCTGGGCTAGAACAGAGAGAAATCAAAAAACGCCTACCGCAGATTATGAACGTCTCTTTGTGGGTAGTGATTTGGAGGAGAAGAGATCAGATCAGAATGAAGATGGACAGAGTGGTGGTTGTGGTAGGTAAAACTGACGACGTCAACAAAAGGGGAAGCTCCAATGGTCATCCCTCCTCCGCTCAACAGGCCGGAGGATGATAAGATAGGGCACTGGACCGAAGAGCGAAGTAACTTCACCAAGTAAAATGGCAGTAAGAGTACTTTCTCCAGGTAGAGGCGGTCGGCGCAAGAAGACAACGAGGTGCCACGAAAAAACTCCCGATCCCACCAAGCGGATGACGCTATAACCTAAGGACCACGAACGACTTTCATTCACACACGGCCGGGGTAAATCGATACCAAGTTTTCTATCTGACTAATCCAAGAGTATGGGGAAGGTGGGGTGAATGTAGTACCTTTCGGGTGTTTCTGTTTTGTTTGATTGGGGCAGCACTAAACAATTACATCACCGGTCCCTTGCCGTCCCATTACCTTACTTTGCTGCCGCTCTCCCCAACTCGAACCGTTGTTCGTGGCTCCAACATTTCGAAGGCCGACAAGGGCCCCTTCCACAAGTGATTTCGGATGTAAAAATGACGAATACGTGATGCTTCCGTCGCACCAGAATTGATAGGCTGGTCCTCTTACGTGTAATATTCATCCCCTGAATGTCACTTGCCGGCTCGATTTGTCTCGGCTTGTACCTCCTCCCTGCCCATCTTATCCTCTCCTCCCATTATCACTCCGACAGATAGCAATCCAGCTACTCGCTGTCAACTGTAACGCGAAATTCACCTTTTCTTCTAATATCCATTCACGGCTATTACATATCGTCTTGTCGTACTGGTTCTATTCAGTGGACCGGTAAACCGGCAACTGTTCCTTTTGCCTCTGTCGTGATACATGCAGATTGGAGCAGATCAGACCCCGTTGTCAAGGATTGCTAGGAACGCATCTTAACACATAATCTCCCTCGCTTGATTCCACACGCCGTGTTCAACAAAACTTCCATGATGCTCCGAGGCGCAAGACCACTGCTCCGCCTTCAACTTGGGCCGGAAAGGTTACAACGTCCTTCAGCTCGCTTCTCGTCCACTTCCTTGATCAGGAGCTCCGTCTTCCAATCACACGGGCGGCCTTCCGTCATTCTTTCATCCCAAGTCAGGTCTCCCGGCGGGCTATCGGCTAAGGCAGCCTATTCCAAGGGGCCTTACGATAAGATCGACTTGGAAGCCGAGAAAGAACTGGCCAAGCAGAAATTCGAGACCCACGTTGGAGAAGTGTCCTCGACCTCGACTACTCCTTCAGCCTTCGATAGGACTCCCAAGACGACCACCAGCAGCAAGGCCCAGGACATCAACGAGGGTCTTCAACATGATGTTGTATGTAAATCCATTTCCCCCTTACCTTTCAACCTTACTTTGCTTTCGATCTTAATGATACTCATTCTCAGATCAGAATATCGTCAAAGATACATTCCAGATGAACGACGTTCCGAAGGCGCCATATGCGCTTGGCCTCACCGGCACGTTGCCGTACCTCGCCACGTCCATTGGAACCGTCTACCTGAGTTGGAACCTAAACACCACTTGGCCTACAGGCTCCGTCCTCCTCGATCATATTCATATGAACCACGAAGCCGCCCGACAATGGCTGGCTCTCCTGGAGCCCATTCAGTTGAGCTATGGTGCCATGTTAATTTCTTTCCTGGGCGCCGTCCACTGGGTAAGTCGACATGCCTAACCCCTCAGTCCATTCGTCCTCCCGTGGCACTCCAGTGTCAAGACGAGAATGGCGGAACGCTTATCGCTCCCCGCAGGGCATGGAAATCGTCACCAAAACCTCTTCTCCATCCCGAACCAAGTTCCGGTACGGCATGGGCGTCCTTGCTCCGATCGTGGCCTGGCCCACCCTTCTCATGCCCGTCGAAGCCGCTCTCACCACGCAGTTCGTCGCCTTCACTGCCCTCTACGGCGCCGATACCCGCGCCACGACCCGTGGCTGGGCCCCCGCATGGTACGGCCGCTACCGCTTCATCCTGACAGCTATCGTCGGCGTCGCCATATTCGTTAGCCTAGTCGGCCGCACCAAGATTGGCAGTGCCGCCCCACGCCTGGGTGAGAATCTCTCCGACAACATGCATAGGGACAAGTCCGAACCCTATTCTACCAAATGGGTCAAGCTTAACGAAGAAGAGAAGGCGAAACAGAAGAAAGCCAAGGAAGAAGAAGAGAAGAAGAAGAAGAAGCAGCAAAACGGCGTGGATAAGGAAAAGGGTTCGAAAGACGAGGAGGAGGAGAAATAATCGACTATTGATTTTGTGGGCTCCCGATCTTGTCTCATCCGATCCGGTTGAAGGACCCGATCTGGAACGCGATACCTATCTCACTGAATGTTCAAATAATAATAATGATGAGTGGGACAGCACCTCGGATAGCAAGTCTTAGCTATAAATGTCAGGATTGGTGAAAGAGCAAGAGAAAACAGATATCCGGAATGAAGTCCTACAAGTGGGTTCTCCAGGGTTGCTTCGGTGAACATCTTGCAGGTTACATCACCTACCGATCTGTCAATGTACTACAATCCAGCCCGCCAAGGTTATATTTGGACGCCCATGGCAGAGCGAAGTTACCCAGGAATGGAAACAAAATGTAGCCATACCAACATTGAAAACCAGGCAAACCGAGTATCCGTACTTGGCACATTCCGCTGAGCATGGCCATCACGGAGTCTCTTTGAGTTGATTCCAGAGCGCTGTATTAGACTAGCTAGCGAGCAGGATGGATTGTGGGCCTCAGGCGCATCACAATACACAAACCACCACTACCCTCGCGTCGTGGAGATACACTACCCTACTAAACGGCGCCGCCGTAGGCCGAATGTGATCAACCTCCGCTTCGGTCCAGACCGGCTTGAGTTTTGCCACCAGACGTGGCATCGACAACCTCGTTCTACCTTGCCGCGAGGTAGAAAAGCGAAACGAGATGAAACCCCGAAAAATGAGCCCCTGCCGACCGCTGCCTTGGTCCTCCCGGGGTGGTGTCTATGTAAAGCCAAAAGAGGAAGAAAGAAAAGTCCGCTGACCAGAGGACACAAGTGCCACCTTTGCGACGTCACGCAAGATCCATAACGCTTGCTGTGCCATATACTGTCCGTCCGTTGTGGAACTGTGTCCCCGTCTATAATGATGACCGTCCGAGACCATGCAATCAATGCCGAAAGAAAAAGAAAAAAAAAAAACGCTGGGGCCACAATTCAACCGTAGTCAATGCTGAAGAATGTACTTTGAATACGTGGTAGGCGGAAAGAATGAGGCTAGTCGGACAGGGCGTGGCCTGCGGAATTCGGACAGGTAAACAAAAGCAGGATGCAGGGATCGAGATGTGGAAGTGAAATATCGCTGTTGGGTATCGTCGAAGGGAGTATTGCTTATTTGCCAGATAAATAAAGACTTAGGTCGACGTCGTCGGAGTGACTACGTTTGGGGAGAGGATCGGAAAAGTAGCTCTTCAGTGTTTGTTTGTCGAGCCGTGGGTACTTCGGTCCCGGTTATGGGGTTGGTAGTGTAGATGGCGATTATGGGACGAGTAATGTTTCCGAACCTGTTCGCGAAAAAAAAAGCAAGGTATTAGCTTGATGGCAATCCACAATGATGGGAGCATATTTGATAATTACGAAAAGAATCAGGGGGCCGAAAGGGAAGGACATGAAATGGCGTGTAACATACCCTCTGCCGGCCACGTCGCTCCTCTTCGTCGGACGACGATGAGCCATTACTTAGACGCTTGCGCTCCTCCTCGTACCACTCGCTCAGCGACTTTCCACCAAATTGCAAGTCATCGTCGTCAATCTCGGTAGCTTCGATCCAGGTATCCGAGTCCAGCTCAATCTGGCGAATTGTGGAAGTAGTATCGGGATGGCGGTAGTGAGGCTTCTGGTCTGAGGATCCAGCAGCCATGATGCCGATCGGATTTTGGCGATGTTTTTTTCGGGGGGAAGTTGAGAAGAAAAAGGGCGGAAGCCGAGGAAAGAGGGAACAGGCTCCGTTTGTATAGAAGTAAAGTTTAGGCCAGCCTCGTCGCACAAAGTCGAGTGGCACGATTGTGTTTGACGCGAATGCAAGGTGTTAAATTGGTAATGGAGGGTTGTCGAGTAACGGTAGAGGACAAGGCTGGGAAGATGGTGGGGATGTCCGGACCGGCTGGAGTTTGTGGTGTAGAGCGAAAAGGTGTTGGAGGCGAATGGTATGTTGTTTTCGCTGCAGGAACCGAGCCCCTTTTCGTAAGGTATTCGTTTGGCGGGCTGATGTTGACGGAACCTGGCAAGCCGTTAAATAAAAGACGGGCAAGTCGAGGCTAAAAGACGAAGGAAGACTTTATGAAGGAGGGCCAGCCGGTGCGAAAGCAATCGTGATGTTTCTGGAGTTGAAGATGGGAGGTGCGTTGATGAAATCGTAGGGGGAATAAGGAGAAGGCGACAAGATAAGGAGGAAATGGGAAATGGTAGGTAGCTGTGAGCTGAGCCTCAGGCAGTTGGGGGGAGGGTTTATCTACAAGGATCGCACAGGCCGTGGCCATGCCAAAAATGTGGGTGTCTACCTTGGGATTGCCTCCCAGGCCCACTGTGGTTGCGACCGTTGGTTGGGGCAGGTGCGTAGACCCCTGTGTGAATCTTTTGTTGAACCCCCTACTAAATTCCCCGGGTTGAGCCGTGAAAATCACAGATGGGTTTGATGGTGGGGTTCAAGTCATCGAACTGGTACGGATACACCAAAATTAATAAATAAATCGGTGTCCTATAACACATTCAAAAGGCGCCTCGTTTTCTCGTTATAATGTTTCTTTTATATTCGAATTCCAGGGAATAAGGTACTCCACACGTCTAATATAATATAGTTTGTTATACCTCGATATGGTGAGCCATAGGTATCTGATATGCGACTTTGTATGCACTGCTGAGACGCTGACTTCTTATTACTGACTTGGGTTAGCCGACAAAATGATTTCTTGTCTTCGCAAATCCACCCACCCGGTTGCGACTCAACACGCTATCCTTTGAAGGCTTCGCATTTAATCTAAGAAGTGAATACAGGCTGCTGACCCATGGTTACATTTCAAGGACCAAAAAGCACTAGCCGCCCTCGATCTTCGGTTCAATGCTCCCCGCATCTTCCACGCTTGGTTCTCCATCAAAATAAGTGATCTGCCATTTCGTCCGAGTGGGTTGTATCCATCCGTACGAGGTACGTACATAAGGTAGGTAGTCTTGGTATCCTCGAACCGAACCAGCCAACATCTTCGCATCCCCTCCTGTGTTCCCGTCCTCGAGGCCAGCGAGGTCCTAAATATGACCGATTCTACTTCCTCTCTAGGAAATTGATATGCGCTATGTGAGGAGTTCCCATGTATCGCAGCCCGGTGAGTTTTGACGCGGTCGCTTCACCGGGCTTGGCACGGCGGTAATCCAATCCGAATCGAACCCTGAAGATCCATGGTTTCTTCGGGGGAAGAACCGGTCATACCCTTCTTGTCTTTTCAGAACATTATAGAATTGGTCTCCTTTTCTTCCGAAGCCGAGATATCTCCTCGCCCAGCACATAACAGGCACGGGGGGTGAGGTTCCACTGGTCGCCTTGCCAGACAAGTCGGTCTTCCAGTGGACGATCGCGAAAGGTGGCTGACATTCGTTCCATCTACTTTCGCTTATTCGAGAAGGCGCAGCTGACGATCGCCCGATCACGCCCAGAACGAATATTCTTGGCGCTTGGGGTACAGTGGCTGACTGCTTATTTTGGAAGTTCGACGTGGTCCCTCCGCCCACCAGTCAATATATTGTTCGTCAATTACTGGAATTATTGGCAGGTGGAAGACTACCAAGGCTAACCCGACAGTCTCGACGACCCGCAACGAGTCTTTAGACAAGCGGGGAGATGGTGTATTCCTTCGTGTCGCTAGAACCCCCATACAACCCACTTCCCTCGTCCTTGGGTCAACTCTGGGTCTGTTGCTAGCCAGATTGACAAAAGGCGTCTCGATTTGGTGTCCCAAACTCGGCAGCGTTGCCCAACGCCGTCCCTTCTTATCCATTCTGACTCGACTCATTCTACCCGCGTCGATCAGCCTAGCCTAGCCTAGCCTTATCTCCAGCTTCTGACCAAAAGGAATGGCTAACCCAACTCGGTTCTCGTGAGGCAACCCGACAAGCGAATTGTCGGCGAGGACAACAATTTCCTCCCCGCCGTTTCGTTTTTTTTTAACGCTTTTGCCTGGTGAAGAGGCCTGGCCCGTTACACGAGCCTCAGCACCGCCCTCTATGCCAACGGGCCTCGCATGGCGGGCGGTGATTCTCCCTCCGTCGCCCAACATGCTCTTTCTATGGCTGTGGCACTCTGCCGATCTGCCTGATTGTGTCGAAACTCGTTGTGCAACCCGGTAGACAAGCAGCGGGCTTTTCGGGCAGTTATAACTTATAAACGATGCATTTGCAATTCCGGCCCCGAATTGGCTTGCCGGATACCCTTGGGAGCGAGTGGTCCGCTTTTCCTGGTGACCGAGGATTCCGTTCTCCCTTTTTGCCGATCGTGGGGTGCCATGTGAAGGGAGGGGACTCTTGCCTCGCTAAGTGGGGGTTTAGTGGGGTTTCTCTAAGTACGTTGTAACCGACCCCTGGAGTCGTCTGTGCTTCCGGGGAAATCCGGAAGACTCACAGCTTATCTGTCGTCGGGTTCCCAAGAAGAATACCTAGCCAGTCCGATTTTCACTATTAGGAATGTCATGTGCATTTTCTACTAATATCTGTTGATTTTCTGGGGCTTATCTATTCCTTCACTCGTCAAGTTTGCGACATGAGAGCGACATCAAGAGGGAGATGTTATCAAGCCCGGTAAGAAAGGTCTTCTTGGCGTCCGGACTTGTCCGATTTGAACCCCCATTCGCACCCTAGAAGCTGACATTTTGACCCTACCTTATCGATCATCAATCGCGATTTCTTTTTTATCGATAAAGAAAAACGATGTGTATGGCAGGGGGGGCACACGCTTCCACAGATCCAGTCCGCTGAGCTGTCTCCGACCACGGCCGTATTCTTCGATTGTCTCCCACCATAACCTACCAATATGCAACATGTTCGACGGGATTCGTGTAGACACAGCAATTTAGATCAAGTATTTCATGAGTCCATGTTGGGAAAGACATGCCAAAATGAAACAGGGCAGCGCACCAACAAATGCCTCGCGATTCTTACCCTATAGGTTGCCTCCTAAGCGGATGGCTCGCCGTTGAGGCGACCGTTACGCGGGCGTTGTAAGCCATTCAACTTGCATGGTCATCGTCGCCATATCACCTCAGCGGCAAGTCAACGGCGCGTCATGGTTGATCTTGACCGCCTTCACTAATCTTGACATCGCGTCCAAACCGCTGAAAGAGTCTTGCCTCCCTTTCCTGACCAACGCAAGGTTCGATAATCAGCGGTTATTGACTTTTTCTTTTTCGGATCCCCTGCCGCCGCCCAGACACGGGAAACTTGAGCATGGTTACAACGGTACCGGTAGCGTGACGAGTCATCGCTCAGCCCTACCTGCTCATGACGTCATATCAGGAGAGCTGGGCGGGTTTTACCCGTTTTCCCCTCCAAATGTCGACGCCGTCGTGACCACATCTTCTCTACAATCGCGACGTCGCGAATTTTTCCTATTTTCCTATTTTCTCATTTCCTGTTTTACTTTGGCTTCTTTTTCACATGGTACGAAATATCTCTTTCTGACATACTGGTACAGTGAACCCCCCTCTTTTCCTTCTTTTTTTCCAGGGTACTTAAGGGACTCGAGTCACTCGACTTCAACCATGGAGACCCTGCGGCAGTGCTCGAAGTGCTGACGGCTATATTGTCCGAAAATGACATCATTCGTTCGCTTCTCCGTGTCAGATGTCAGATGGCCCCGAGATGCCGGATGCTTCCTGATCCAACTGGCCGGGTCTCGCGGGACGTGCAGCAGATCAACGTTGTGCGCTAGCGGTTGTTCACTTGACGTTCTTATCTCGTGCCCCAATGTCCGTCCACTGGCTTTTCCCCCGTAGAGCGCTGTACTGAAGACATTTGTTCGCGTAAGATGAAACAACTCGGATAAGGTGGGTGCCTACCATGCAGGACACTTACGGCCTTGCCTCTGTAATATAAATAACCCATATCGCTTCGAAGAAACCTTCGCCCAGATAGGGAGTAGGACTCGCCGAAGTGGTTTTGTTGAAGGCATACTCGAGTCATCTCCGTCGCTCAGATGTGAATAATATATAATATATTCTGGGCAGCGTAGTACATCAGGGGGCGGGGTCGTTGTCGGAGTCCTTTCTTCTGCTTCCCGACCAATCCGTCTGGCAGCGAGCGCGATTCGGCTCGGTGAAGCTTGGCCTGTATCTGGCACGTGGTAGAGGATCGATGGGTGATGGGTCATGGTAGACGCGGAGACCCGAAGATTCTATGAACAGACCTCTACCACTGGGCGAGATGGTCGACGACTCGACTTGTCGACACGATATTCACCGTCATGCTATCGGTGACAGAACTGGGCGCTCGACTTTGGCGTAGAAGACGCTAGAGCCTCGACCCAACAACACCGACAAGTGTAAAGGGGGAGAACGAGAGGAGAGGGTGCGCAATATGATTTAGGGCGACGGCGAGTAATAAGTACCGACACAGGGCAGTACTGTACCTGACATTAGAAATCAGATACCTTAGGGTGTGGACATTTGGATAAGGGCTTATAGGTGACGCGACAAGGGAGACAGGGAAGACCAAGAAGGCGGAAGAAAGGTCGGAATGGGCCAAGAATAGCATTATATCAAGGCAACGTAGCTCTGTGCCTCTATCCCAGTGGCAGGAATAATAAAGGACGCACATATTTTGCGTCGGCCTCACAGAGCCGACAGGGGACGATGTCACAAATGTGGATGAGATCATGAGTCCGAGTCTTAATTACAGCCATACTCCACGTATCGAAGACAAAGGAACGAGGAAAAGGTGGGGTGGCGAGTCACCAGTCTGCCCATCATAGGCTGCCGGTCCGGTGTAGATAACCGTAGTCCGATGCTGAGCTTATGTCCCCACCCGAGTCCGATCCGAAGACTGTGGGTCCGGGGCATCCGCACGTCCGTGTGTCATGCTCTGCCCCGGACTTGGCGCGTAAATCTGAACGGGGTTGCTCTCTCGTCTCACGGACACTGATGGAGGGAATGAAATGCCACAGGACCGGAATCTTCGGTTTCAGATGCCAAGATTCAAGTTCTGACAAGTCGTTGCTGGTTTTGACGAGATCATCGACACCTCAAACCCGTCTGTTGAAGAGCCGAATCACCCGAGCTGGCTGGCGGCTGGCCCGGTGTGGTCGGCTAACTCGGCTCGTGAACGGTTCGACCCGGGACATCGTACCGTGAGACTGGGGACTGGGGAATTGCCAACCGAATACGACAACGGGCAGCCACCATGATTTGCTTCCCGACTTGAGTTTACCTACTTAACTGAGTATGGGGCCCTCCCGGTATTCGGACTCGGAAGCCACGGGCCGAGGGTCACCCAAAGAAACCGGTGCACCACCGCGTCTCCGAAGAAGCCGACTCAAGAGGTACAGGCATAATGTACGGAGTACAGAGAATCCATATGGCACACAACTTTTGTTGGTCTATAATTTCGTAGTTATACGAAGTAGTGTATCAAAGTCTGGTTGTCCGATCTGCCCGGTCAAGACTCGAGTACTGTTGTACGAATAACCTCAGACTTTTTGGGGCGGGGGGGGGGGGGGGGGGGGGGGCGGTCCCCACTGTCAACGCATTTTATGACCTTCCCATTGGTTGTTGTGATTCCGTGAATGGTCAGTTGACAGGGAGACAAGCTGCATGTTCCACGCCTCTATATCTGCCCGCAACCCAGCCACCCGGACGCGCAAGTCCATCGGCATGGCATGTTGTATGGCACAGTTTTGTTTCATCACCCACTCACGCTACCCATGCGTTGGACAGCGATCAAGTCGTTATCTGAAGGATGACGTCTCATAATTAAAAAGTCACCTGTGTCTTTGGCCTTTTCTCCCGAGATAGCTCCAGGAGCTGATATCTGTTCACAAACTGTCTCACCACAGTCCTGCTGATCCTCCTCGCGCCCGCTGCGTCTCAGGGCCACCCTAGATTTGTTCGTGTCCTCGTACAATGCACCGCTGCTCGAGACACGTTGAATTGCGATTTTATCGTTCATCAGCGGGTTACGACATTTTCTCGTTGTTCCGTGGCGTTGGCGACTGGCATGTCTCCGTGAAGATGAGGGCATGGTTTTCTTTCCTATTTTTCTTCTTCTTTTTTCATCACCACTCGCATGACCTACCGGGTGTGAACTCGGTTGACTAAATTTACGTGTAAAGAAAGAAAAGTAAAAAAAAAAACCGGAGTAACCACACCCACTGTAGTATCGTACCGTGGTAGCTGACTCGACTACCGGCATGGTCTTATCCCAGCATCGCATCCCCCACTCCACCCACTCTCTTACGACATACGACAGCGATCCACACAACCTAATACTTCGTACATCTTATCTCCATGATTCTCCTCGGACAGCACAACGTCTGACACGTCAATGCACGGGCTGAGCACACTTAGAGGCCTTACAGGCCTTACCCGCCACTAGAGCCGCGTTAGTAAGGGATGAATCTAGCATTAGGTACCATCGCACCACCCGAGGTTTGGTTTGGGGTCAGTGTCAGTGTAGGTACCTCATTATACCTACACAAGGTACATATCAGCATATTACGTGTCAGATGCCACAGCTACCTTATCGGGGTATGACAAACCACATAGTGTCAGACGTGTGGAGTACCTCGGTCCTATGTATCCACCCTTATTTCCCCTGCTTTTTCCGTATAGTTAGACATTCCCGTGAAGTATCACAAACTTCACTTAGATAAATACACATATAATTCCGCGTACCTTATTTGTGTTCTAATAGTTATAAGCCCGGCGTTCTAATAAATGAAACTATTCCGATCGATTCTACAGCTTCTAGGCTATTAAATCAGCCTTAAGTCTATAGCGGGTAGTTTAGTATTATTAGTAACGTCTGCCTACTTTAGTTTTATTTAATCGTTTTATCGTTTTTAATCGTACTATCGTTTTAAGCGTTTAGTTTAGTTAATTAACCTTTCCGTTTATCCTATTCCACTGCTTTTTATTAGCATAACGATAGCTTCCACGGTAGTAGTGCCCGTTATAGGCCTCGTAACGCTCACCTCTCCGAAAGACTGGAGGCCTTAGATTAAAGCCGTGATAACTATCGCGCACTCCCACGATATCGCCGACCTTATTAATCCCGACCTTAAAGAAGCTAAACGGCCTAAGCACCGTATAAAAATAGATCCACCCACGCCTTTAGCCTCTATTAAAGAAAGAGGTAATTAGGATATACTGTTTAAGATCTAGCAGGTGGAAGAGGATCGGTATTAGGCTGAAAAGAGGGGGATTTAAGCACTCTACGACTATATCGCGAAGACGGTTAGCCCTGCTTTAAAGGATTAATACGCCGGTAAAAAGGAAGTTAAGGATATCCTGTATACTTTTAAGACGCACCTTAAGCTAACGAACGCCGCCTAGAAGTCACTAATTAAGCGACGCTAGGACAAACACCTCTAAAACGTTAGGCGTATACCCCACAAGCGCTAGCTAGAAGACTTTATAAAGCTATACCGCGACGCTAAGGCGTATAAAGTCCGAGAATACGATACTAAGGAATAATAGATAGACGGCTTCTTTGACGCTATCGGTAACGTAGCACTAGAATAGTTAGAAGGACGCTTTATATAGCTTATCCTATCCGGTTAGAAGAGAAAGACCTACCCTTGATTTAATCTATCGTGGAGGAATATACGATATAGCTTCGTTGCCGCCACCCGCACCGACTCGATAAGAAGCCCACCGTATTATCCTTTTATACGGTAACCTTCCTAGGTAAGGATAAAGAAGGTAAGGATCAGCGGGCATAATCGGGATAACAGGGTAATTAACCGTCTAACGAATAAAAGAAGGAGTGGTTATATGACTACCGTAATAAGAAGAGGAGTAAATATAACTATAAGCCTCTATAGAAGTGCCTAAACGTTAACGAGGCACGCAAGAAAAAGGGATATATACCTTTAAAAAAGATCTTAGAACGCGTTAACCGTATTATTAAGACCTAGGATAACGAACGTTAAAAGAGATTCCGGGAGAATATCGAAAAGGACGCTAAAAGCCTAAAAACGGGTGCTAAAAAGGACTCTTAGAAGTTATAGCCGAAAGAATCGTCGACGGAGGTATCTAATTTTATTAATAACTAAGAAGAGGATTCCGAAGAGGAATCCTATAGGATATACTCCCTCCTGCAGATTAACGAAAAAGAAAGCGTTAGTAGTAACCTCTTTAACTAGTTATTAATCGATTCCGGCACCTCTAGGCATATTACTAACTAACGATACCTGCTTTAGGACTTCGAACCTGCTATAGAAGAGTATCGTTTTTAAACGGGTGGTGGAGAGACTAAGCCAGTTAAGGGTTATAGCAGGATATAATTAGAGGTAGACGACGAATATAGTAATCCCTTCGTTTTAGTGCTAAATCGCGTTACTTTTATATAAGATTACCTAATAACCTTAATCGCGACTAGAAGATTAAAGGAATAGGGTATCGTTTTTGATTCCGGCCTTAAAGTGCTAAAGGTAAAGGGCTTAGTAGCCCTATCTCTAAATAATGTTAACGATTAATACGCTCTCGTTCTAACGGATCGTTAATAGCACCTACTAAGCAGCTTCTTTAATAGCTCTATAACGCCTACTATAAGCGTGGTAGACGCTCGCTTATAGCACGAGAGGCTAGGGCACGCCGGCGCTGCTACCCTTAATAAAATAGGAGATACCCTTATTAAAGGCGTTATTAAAGGACGTTAAAAAGGCCCTTTATTGGTAGATTATAAGGCCTATACCCTTAGTAAGGCGAAGAAGGTTATTTCCAGAAGGTTACCTAACTACTAAACGATAAGGCCGTGGTATAGGGTGGAGGTTAACCTCTTTAGCCTTAACAAGGCCTATAACGGTATAAAGGTCGTGATGCTTTTATATAATCCCTGTACTCGTTAAGCTATTATAAGGTTCCTGCGTGACTATAAATTAGCCTTACCCACGTTAGTGAATTTTAAGTTCTTCCTTTAGAGGTAGTACCACTATATAATTATAGTAATCTGCCTGGATAGAGAAAGATCCCTTTAGAAAGGCTTCAATAAATAGGCCGACGAGAGAGGGATTTTACTTAAGAGGTTATCCCTATATATAGCCGCATAGAATTCGAAGGCAGAACGCCACGGCGGCGTTATTTTTACTATCGCGAGGACCCTCGTAACGGCCTTAGGTATCTAATAGGATATATAGCCAGAACTAGTGGCTACTATAGTATATCTATATAACCTTATCCCTCGGAAGGACCTCTAGTGGAAAACCCCTTAAGAGCAGATAGAGAATTAGATTAATATATAAGGCCTAAAAAAGATCCTAATAAAGCCTATCATTAGCCACCTAAAGAGGTATAGTTATAGAGCCTATCCACTAACCGCTAACTACTAACGAGGTCGTAACCGTAATGCTAAGTTAGCCGAAAGAGTATATATCGGGTATTTAATCGGGTATAAAAGTACTACTATCTACCGGATTTAGGTGCTAAAATAAGGAGGATCCTATGCACGAGAGACGTTACTTTTAACGAAAAACAGCTATATAAAGATCGTGACCACGAACCTGAGGTATTAATTAAGGTTTTCGAGTAGCTTAATCTGTCTATAGATTATTAACTCCACGATCCTCTAGGTATTACTACTAACGTGGTCGATTTACACCCTTAAACGCTGCTGGAGCAGAATACCACGAGGGAGGTAATAGCGGAGGCTACCACTACGGTGGCCACTACGGCTATCGCCGCTATTACTACCGTTGCTTCTAGGGGGGTGGATAAAGGTGCAGGTTTAATAACCACTATAGAATCTGCAGAAGAATAATAATAGCAGGAAGATTAACCTGATTAGCAGGCATAGGAGGCACGTGGAATAGGGCAAATAAGCTCTATAACGCCTTTCACGCCTCCGGCGGCACCTACTTTAATAACGCCTTCTATAATTACACCTATAATTACACTAACGGCACCTGTTTTCCCTCCTCTAATAACCATAAACGGCCCTCCTACACTACTAACCGGAACTACGGATCTGCCGCCTATTTTTCAACGGCCTAACGATACCAAAGATCAATCTAACGATACGGCCATAACCGGCGATACCGTCAAAATAGGATTCTTATCCCCTAACTAATTAGTTCTGGAAGAGGAATTAACCACTACTACCACCGCCGTTAATCCGGTATCTACGGCTCCTACTACGGCTAAGTCTCCTTAAACCTCCTCTTCCACTACTATAGCTAACTAACCTACTCCTATAAGCAGAAGAAACCGTCCTCCTGTTATTCTAACGGCCGCCACCGACCGGCCTGCCCGCAGTAGACGTCCAACCGACCGATATACCCCTCCTTCCTTTTATACCTTCTATAACCAGATTAAAATACCGAAGAAGCCGCTACTACGCCGCGATATACCTAAGGAACCTCTAAACTGGTCTTAAATGCTGAAGAGTCCCTATAAATTGGAATGGATTAAGGCCGCCTTATAGGAGGTCGGCACGCTTAGGTTAATAGGTACCTTTGAATGGTGGGAACAGTCCCACTAATAGGGGCACGGCTCGGGACTACCTGAATCAGTTCTAAGGCCACTAGACCTTAAATGGGTTTTTAAGTATAAGGTCGATCCTACTGGTTACGTTAACAAGTTTAAGGCACGCCTATACGTTCGAGGGGATTAATAACCTAATAACCACCTTTATGCCTACGCCTCTACCCTCGCTAGAAGGACCTTTAGGTCGCTAATAGGTATTATAGCCCACTTCGATCTTAAGACTCGGTAGCTTAACGCCGTTAACGTATTCACTAATACCCTGCTTAACGAAGAGATTTATATTAAGGACCCTCCTAGTTAGTAGTTACTCTAGTCGGCTACGGGCCTTAAAGCCCACGAATAGCTCGAGGACCTTTTAAAGTAACGCCCTCCTATATAACGAAAAGGGATTTAACGGCTACGTCGAGTGTTATATAGCCTTCGGCGTTCTCTAAAGCTATAGCACTAATAGCTCTCTTCCGTACTAGGTAAGTGCGGTTTAAAGTAATTAACCGAAGACGATTACGTCTTTAAGAACAAGGTCCTGATTACTTTCTTTTACGTTAACGATATTATCCTAATCTACCATAAGGAATATTAATCTGCTATAAATAACCTAGTGAAACAGATATAGCAGAGCTTCCAGATCAGGGATTTAGGACTAATTAAGTGGTTCCTTAGAATCCGTGTAGGACGCGATCGTTAATAACGTAAGCTATAGTTATCGCTTAATAACTATATCACCGATAAGATAAAGGCATTATAGGTGGATTATAGAGGTTGTAGGGTTAAAAGCCCTCTTCCTTATTCTAACGTTCTGGAACCTGCCGACTAACAAGCCTCCGAGGAATTAATCTATCTATATCTTCGGAAGGTCGGTTCTATTAATTACGCCGCCTATTAAACCCGACCTAACGTCTTTAAAGCCGCTTCGAGGCTTACCGAATTCAGCACTAACCCGTTAAAATAGTATCACGAGGCTGCCGATAGGTGCCTAAAGTATCTCGGCTCGATAAAGACCCTATGCCTTTACTTCGGACCACGTAAAGACCACTAAAAGCCTGCACTCTTCTATGCTTCCGACGCCGCCTTCGTAGACGACCGTAAGACTAGGTATAGATCGTAAGGGTATATAACCCTGCTATTCGGCGGTCCTATAGACTAGAAAGCAAATAAGTAAATAAGCGTCGTGACCTCTAGTACTAAGGCCGAGCTTATAGCACTTTCTGCTACTACTAGGCAGTATATCGCGACGAGGCGTTTAATAAAGGACCTAACGTTAACCTTTAAGGAGG